CTGCCGGATGGGTGACACCCCCCCCCTTGCTGTGGCTGTTAAGAAGGAATTGGGGGGAAACAGGTAAGTTGTCCTTGAGGATTTCCCCCCCCCTTTTTGCCACTTTCAGTGAGGTTAAGGCTTTTCTTTTTAAAGAGACAGGGATGGAAATGGAGTAAGGTTGGGAGCCCAGTAAAAACCCCAAGAGGAAGCGGGAAACAGGGTGGGAGGTTGCGATCGCCACCGCTCCTCTCAATATTGCAGTTTTGGTGGGAAATAGCAGGAGGGACCTCTCCAAGGGCCTTCCCATTAGCAGAGCTTGGCAGTCTACCGGAAAGGGCCTTTTCTGGCACACCTGGCAGGCCGTGCGACAGCATCTTTGGGTGATGCTCACGGGCCCCGCTTTCCGGATATTTAGGGACAAGGTAAGAACGCATCTCTTTGGCCGAGCTTTTGATTTCTGAGCAATCCTCTGGTGTAATTTTAAGAGCAATTTCAATTGCGTTAATGTGGTTTGTAGATTACAGCGTTAGCGTTTTATGAAGCACTTTGATGGCAGAAGAAACAAAAATCGCCACCAAACTCGGAGTGCTTGGGTATTGTTAGGAGGGCACTGACTTTTCTAGGCTACCTTATCTATGTTTCCTGGTAAAATACATGGGAAAATCCCATTGGAGGAAAATTCCACTTAGGGTTAGGGTTACGTCACCATGAACTCCTAGAGCAAAATGGACATCGCCAACGAACTCAGAGTGCTTGGGTATGGTTAGGAGGTCACTGACTTTTCTAGGCTGCCCTATCTATGTTTCCTGGTAAAATACATGGGAAAATCCCATTGGAGGAAAATTCCACTTAGGGTTAGGGTTACGTCACCGTGAACTCCTAGAGCAAAATGGACATCGCCAACAAACTCGCAGTGCTTGCGTATGGTTAGGAGGGCACTGACTTTTCTAGGCTGCCCTATGTATGTTTCCTGGTAAAATACATGGGAAAATCCCATTGGAGGAAAATTCCACTTAGGGTTAGGGTTACGTCACCATGAACTCCTAGAGCAAAATGGACATCGCCAACAAACTTGGAGTGCTTGCGTATGGTTAGGAGGGCACTGACTTTTCTAGACTGCCCTATGTATGTTTCCTGGTAAAATACATGGGAAAATCCCATTGGAGGAAAATTCCAGTTAGGATTAGGGTTACGTCTCCATAAACTCCTAGAGCAAAATGGACATCGCCAACAAACTCGGAGTGCTTGCGTATGGTTAGGAGGGCACTGACTTTTCTAGGCTGCCCTATGTATGTTTCCTGGTAAAATACATGGGAAAATCCCATTGGAGGAAAATTCTGTCATAATACAGCTGGAAGGGACCTCGGAGGTCTTCTAGTCCAGCCGCCTGCTGAAGCAGGAGACCCTACGTGGAATTTTCCTCCAACGGGCCCTATTAATAAGGTGTTAATACCGTTAATAAAGATAGAGAATACCATCATTTTAAAATGCCATTAAAATGGTTTATTTCTTTTGTTGTTGTTGTTAATTGCGAAGTCGTGTCTGACCCATAGCGACCGCGTGGACAATGTTCCTCCTGTCCTCTACCATCTTCTGGAGTCCATTTAAGTTCACACCTACTGCTTCAGTGACTCCATCCACCCACCTCATTCTCTGTCGTCCCCTTCTTCTATTGCCCTCAATCTTTCCCAGCATTAGGCTCTTCTCCAGTGAGTCCTTCCTTCTCATTAGGTGGCCAAAGTATTTGAGTTTAAACTTCAGGATCTGGCCTTCTAAAGAGCAGTTGGGGTTGATCTCTTCTAGGACTGACCGGTTTGAACGCCTTGCAGTCCAAGGGACTCGCAAGAGTCTTCTCCAACACAAATAAGATGGTCTGGTATTCCCATCTCTTTAAGAACTTGCCACAATCCACACAATGAAAGGCTTTAGCATAGTCAATGAAGCAGAAGTAGATGTTTTTCTGGAACTCCCTAGCTTTCTCCATGATCCAGTCGTATCGCGCTTCCCTGTGTTACACCTTAAGAGGTTGCTCCTAAAAGTGTACCCCGCTCGCCCCCCTTCAAGCAAACCCAGATGTTTTTATTCAAGCATAGTTTTGTTTGTCCTGCCCTTCTTTTTCTTTAAGGAGATCGTACGTATGTAGGTTTGTATTTGGGCTTGGTGTTTCTAAACTATATTTCTTAGAGATACCTATGTATTAATATAAGCGCAATATCAAATATCTATTTGAAATATTGTGTATTTTTATTACGAAACGATCAATATAAAAATAAATGTAGTTTATTTTGAAAAAGTATATAACCTATGGTTCCCTTATAGGTTTATCATTTAAAGGATGGATAAAAGGGGTGAGACGTGAGAAGTTGCAACTAATGGCATTTATAATTTTTTCGCCGTCCATCTAACTTTGTAGGCCTTCGTCTATTAATAAGGTGTTAATACCGTTAATAAAGATAGAGAATACGGTCATTTTAAAATGCCATTAAAAAGGTTTATTTCTTTGGGTGGCCGCAACACCCATTTTTGACCCCAGGAGGGCACAGTTTTCTGTCCCATAGCTTTGGCTTGGAGTCCATCCTAGGCCTTTTTAATGGCCTCCATCCTATAGCTAAGGCAGGGGTAAGGCAACCTTGGCTCTTTGATGACTGGTGGACTTCAACTCCCAGAATTCCTGAGCCAGCCCTGCTAAGGGACGGAAAACTGGTCAAATCAGATACTGTGGCCAGAAAAATAAATAAACCTCTTTAAGATGATTATTCTTGATTATTAAAACCTTCTTAATATGAATAAGCCACAATAGGCCTTAACTCGGTTTAAGATTGGAACTAGGATTTCTTCTGCGCCCGTGTGGCACCGACCGGACCCCCCGTCGCCACGTTAATATTAATCATAAGGCGTTAAGAATAAAAATAGAGAAGAGTAAGCTTCAAATGCTATTCAAAAGTATTTATTTCTTTGGGCGGCAGCAGTACCCGTTTTTGACCACAGGAGGGCAGTGTTTCCCGTCCCATAGCGTTACCAGGGAGGCCGTCGTAGGCCACTTGCCCAGGATCGGGACACCGAGAAGCTAAGCCCCAAAGCGCAGAGCGTCAGCCAAAGGGTCGCCACTCTATGCTCCTCCGAAAGGGACGGGCCGCTTCCCTCGGCCTTCTGCGCATGTCGGCCGGCTGGTTCTTGACGAGTAATCTGCGAGAGGCCCTCTCTGGACGGCGGGCTTCCTGTCCGTCGGTATCGGCCGTCCCCCAGTGCTGCGGTAAAAGGACCTTTCCATCATGTCCGACTTCCGTCCCTTCGTTCTTAATCTTTCCCCCTACTTCCTTTCGGGTAGACCTCCTCAGCATGTCCGACTTCCTGTCCGCGCAAATTCGCCGTCCTCCAGGGTTGTTGAATTGCGACCTTCCCAATATGGCCGACTTCCGGTCCGTCCTTCTTAATCGTCCTTCCACTTCCTTTTTTTCGGGGACCTTCTGGGCAGGGCGGACTCCACGTCCGATCAACGAGGTAAGCCTTGAAAACCCCATTCAAAAGGCTTATTTCCCTTGGCGGCCGCAATACCCGTCCCATAGCATTTACCATCGAGGCCACCGTAGGCCTTTTCCACGGCCTCAATGCCGCTATCGCTAAGGGAGGGAAAACAGTGCCCTCCCGTGGCCAAGCCGGGTATAGCAGCCACCAAAAGAAATAAACCTTTGAAAATGGCAAAAGGGCCTCCCGTCGCCCTATTAATATTAATAAGAGGCTACTAATAAAGACGGGGGGAAAATAAATAGCCTTAAAATCCCATTTAAAAGCTTTATTTTTTTCGGCGACCGCAGTACCCGTTTTTGACCACAGGAGGGCACAGTTTTCCGTCCCGTAGCATGACCACCGACGATGACGACGTTCCCAGTACGGCCGAGTTCCTGTCCATCCGCCGAGGCCGTCCCCAACTTCCTGTCCGTTCCCTGCTTTTTCCCGTGCTCTTTTCTGCACTACGTTGACGGAGCGCACGTCTACCGGCGAGGACTCAGGAAGGAAAAAAGGAAGCCTGCTACTGCCTCAGGTGAGCCGAGCCATCCCCGCATTTCCTGATTCCAGAAAGATACCGGCTTTCTCTGTTACCTAGTTAGCGGGGGATCCCCACCTTCCCCCTCCCCCGCCTCCTCCCCGGCCACTCGTTTGGTCCTCTCCCCTAAGATGTCCGCCTGGCCGTTCCTGGCCTTTCGCCGCCGGTGTCTGTAAAAATGCGACCGAGAACCGGTGGCGTCGGCGGCGCCGGAGGTTGCGAGACGTGGTCTCTTTGCGCTCTTTCCCTTTCAGCAATAGGGGCTAAATTGGGAACGTAGAGACGAAGTTAGCTTGTTTTAACAACACACTTCGGGGTGGTTTACGCGAGCTCAGCCCCGGCTTCTTTTTAGCTCCTTTTTAGAGGCGGGGCCGGCGGGACACGCTCCAGGCTTTTGGCGTCCGGGTCGGGAAGGGGGTTCCGACCCGTCTCGGGGGTCTCCTCGAAGGCTGCCAAGCAAGGCAGCCGTTGAATGGTGTTTTCCCAGCGCCCGAGTCCCGGATGTAGAAGAACCAGTCGTATCGCGCTTCCCTGTGTTACACCTTAAAGAGGTTGCTCCTCCTAAAAGTGCACCCCGCTCGCCCCCTTCAAGCAAATCCAGGTGTTTTTATTCAAGAATAGTTTTGTTTGTCCTGCCTTGCTATTTCCTTAAGGAGATCGTACGTATGTAGGTTTGTATTTAGGTTTGATGTTTCTAAACTATATTTCTTAGAGATTCCTCTGTATTAATATAGGAGCAGTATCAAATCTCTATTTGAAATTGTGTGCATTTTTATTAAGAAACGATCAATATAAAAATAAATGCAGTTTATTTTGAAAATGTGTATAACCTATCGTTCCCTTCTAGGTTTATAATTTAAAGGATAGATAAAAGGGATGAGACGTGAGAAGTTGCAACTAATGGCTTTTATTATTTTGTTCGCCGTCCATCTAACTTTGTAGACCTTTGTTCAAAACAACTCAGGGTTAGGAAGGGTAGGAGATTTCTTCCTTTCCTCTCCAGGTTGCCGTAAACAGCCCACCCACCGCCCAGAGGTAAGAGAAAGGAAAAGCAGGTCTCTCTGGGGGAAGCAAGAGACCCGGGTCTTTGCAGAGTCCGGCTTGCAATTTTGCTAACTTCCCCCAGTCACAGCTGCATCGACTGATGTAGGGCCAGGAGGAAGGGGGCGGACGCCTGCCGGATGAAAGCTTCAGCCTTTTTGGAAAAGGCAGTGGAGAAAGGAGGTCACGCTCCCTGGATTTCCAGCCTAGAGCCTCCGCCGGATGGGTGACCCCCCACCCCTTGCTGTGGCTGTTAAGAAGGAACTGGGGGAAAACAGGTAAGTTGTCCTTGAGGATTCCCCCCCCCCTTTGTTTGCCACTTTCAGTGAGGTTAAGGCTTTTCCTTTTAAAGAGACAGGGATGGAAATGGAGTAAGGTTGGGAGCCCAGTAAAAACCCCAAGAGGAAGCGGGAAACAGGGTGGGAGGTTGCGATCGCCACCGCTCCTCTCAATATTGCAGTTTTGGTGGGAAATAGCGGGAGGGACCTCTCCAAGGGCCTTCCCATTAGCAGAGCTTGGCAGTCTACCGGAAAGGGCCTTTTCTGGCACACCTGGTAGGCCGTGCGACAGCATCTTTGAGTGATGCTCACGGGCCCCGCTTTCCGGGTATTTAGGGACAAGGTAAGAACGCATCTCTTTGGCCGAGCTTTTGATTTCTGAGCAATCCTCTGGTGTAATTTTAAGAGCGATTTCAATTGCGTTAATGTGGTTTGTAGATTACAGCGTTAGCGTTTTATGAAGCACTTTGATGGCAGAAGAAATAAAAATCGCCACCAAACTCGGAGTGCTTGGGTATGGTTAGGAGGGCACTGACTTTTCTAGGCTACCTTATCTATGTTCCTTGGTAAAATACATGGGAAAATCCCATTGGAGGAAAATTCCACTTAGGGTTAGGGTTACGTCACCGTGAACTCCTAGAGCAAAATGGACATCGCCAACAAACTCGGAGTGCTTAGGTATGGTTAGGAGGGTACTGACATTTCTAGGCTGCCCTATGTATGTTTCCTGGTAAAATACATGGGAAAATCCCATTGGAGGAAAATTCCACTTAGGGTTAGGGTTATGTCACCATGAACTCCTAGAGCAAAATGGACATCGCCAACAAACTTGGAGGGCTTGCGTATGGTTAGGAGGGTACTGACTTTTCTAGGCTGCCCTATGTATGTTTCCTGGTAAAATACATGGGAAAATCCCATTGGAGGAAAATTCTGTCAGAATACAGCTGGACGGGACCTCGGAGGTCTTCTAGTCCAGCCGCCTGCTTAAGCAGGAGACTCTACGTGGAATTTTCCTCCAATGGGCCCTATTAATAAGGTGTTAATACTGTTAATAAAGATAGAGAATACCGTCATTTTAAAATGCCATTAAAAAGGTTTATTTCTTTTGTTGTTGTTGTTAATTGCGAAGTCGTGTCCGACCCATCCCGACCCCATGGACAATGTTCCTCCAGGTCTTCCTGTCCTCTACCATCTTCTGGAGTCCATTTAAGTTCACACCTACTGCTTCAGTGACTCCATCCAACCACCTCATTCTCTGTCGTCCCCTTCTTCTATTGCCCTCAATCTTTCCCAGCATTAGGCGCTTCTCCAGTGAGTCCTTCCTTCTCATTAGGTGGCCAAAGTATTTGAGTTTCAACTTCAGGATCTGGCCTTCTAAAGAACAGTCGGGGTTGATCTCTTCTAGGACTGACCGGTTTGAACGCCTTGCAGTCCAAGGGACTCGCAAGAGTCTTCTCCAACACCATAGTCCGAAGGCCTCAATTCTTTGGCGCTCAGCCTTTCATATGGTCCAACTTTCACGGCCATACATTGCAACTGGGCAGACCATGGCCTGGAGTATACGCACTTTTGTTGGCAGGGTGATGTCTCTGCTTTTTAGTACGCTGTCTAGATTTGCCATAGCTTTCCTTCCCAGGAGCAAGCGTCTTTTAATTTCTTGGCTGCAGTCCCCATCTGAGGTGATCTTGGAGCCCAGAAAAATAAAATCTGTCACCACCTCCATTTCTTCCCCATCTGTTTGCCAGGAATTGAGTGGGCCGGATGCCATGATTTTGGTTTTCTTAATGTTGAGTTTCAAGCCAACGTTTGCACTTTTATTACGATTATTCTTTATTATTAAAACCTTATTAATATTAATAAGCCACGATAGGCTCATCCCCCTCCCCTACTACACTTGACTTGCAATCACGGTCTACAAGCCATGTGGCAAAGTACCACAAGTGGTACACATACCACTGGTTGAAAAGCCCTGCTCTATAATTATTAATATCAAGGCTTCTAATAATACAGATGCAAAAGAATAACCTCAAAATCCCGACTGTTCTGTTCCCTGAACCTGTCTTGCCCTCTCCGGCTGTAAAACGGGGCCCAAGGGCCATTTTACAAATGCAGATGGGGCAACTAAGCCTGAGAAAGTATCCCTGAAATTTATGTTTCCAACATATGAACTGTATCTCTATGTTCCCAATTTGGCCTCTTGTTTTTCTCCCTCTGAAGTGGAAAGGGCACAAAGAGACCCAGCCTCCTAGTCTCTCGTACCGGCATCCAGCCGCCTGCTTAGGGACAGGAAGTCGGCCATGCCGAGAAGGTCGTTCTGAATGGAAGTGGAAGGACGGCCACAGAAACGGACAGGAAGTTGGCCATCCCGGGGAGGTCGGTGTGTAAGACAGTGGAGGACTACTGCGCATGTGTGACTGGAAGTTGGCAGGTAAGGTTGATTTCCTTGTGTGGCTGCTATTCCTGCCTAAGGCTGCGTTCTGATGACTTTGCCCCTAAAATAACAACATAGTCTTTCATATCTTGGGAAAGCCTGACTTTTTTGCCCTCTTTTGGGCAAGGAAAGAGTAGGGCCTCAGGTTTTTAAGAAGAGACTTGACAACCATTTGTCTGAAGTGGTACTATAGGCTTTCCTGCTGGACTACAAGACCTTCCAACTCTATTGTTATTGTTGATCTCCCAAAGCAATTGCTCACTGTATTTTCTTCTACTGTTTAGAAGGAAAAACATAACAGAAAGGAGAAACTATTCTCCTTTTAGCCGTTGTTTTGTGGTTAATTCAGGGTTCGGGGGAAATTTGACCGGCTCCTCTGGTTCAAGCCTGTGCTCCAGCTCAAAATATGGAGTTGTGTTGTTTTGAGAAGGCTGTGCCAATAGCAAGTGGGAGGTCTTGTGGCAGGATTTGATTCTCTTCACCCCAAGACCAGCTGGTAAAAGCAGGAAATTAAACCGATCAAGAATTCTGGTGATTTGTTATGATTCCTACAACTCAGTGCTTTTTTCTTAGGCCCTAGGAGTAGGTAACCCAAAACACTCGAAGAGCCACTTGGACCCATTTACAACCGAAAACATCTTTTATGACTCATGGACTTCTACTCCCAGAATTCCTGAGTCAGCATAGCTGGGCTAGCTAGCTCTCTCCTGCCCTTCCTGCTTCCTGCAGAGACGCAGCAAAAGGAGGAGTGCCATCCAGTAAGCTTTTTAGCTCGTCGGAGAACACTGTGAGTCCACTCTCTTTTTTCACACACACACACAGAGAGAGAGAGAGAGAGAGAGAGAGAGAGAGAGAGAGAGAGAGAGAGAGAGAGAGAGAGAGGAGGGGGGAAGCACAAGTGCCTCTCTCTCTGTCTGCAAATGGCAGAGGAGGCTGGGAGCCGCAGGGGAAGGCTCAAAGAGCCATATGCGGCTCCAGAGCCGCAGGTTGCTGACTCCTAGGGGCACTCAGAGTACACCTTTGATAAAGGAATATACATAATAAGCAAACACGTATAAAACTGAGTTTAGTCAAAGCAGCAAAGTCTGCCCTCTTGTGGCCAGTGTGTGCTGTAACGTTTAGCAAAGAAGCCCTGAAGTGGCTTATTTTTATTCTTTCATTTCCTTCCTTTGATGGAAGCTCAAAGCAGCCACAGAAGAGGCTGCTGGGAATACAAAAGATAATTGCAGAAGCTAAAATTTCATTTCTAATAGGGCACTGAGGAGGGCAAAACAGGGAATGCTGCCCTCCTGTAGCCAGGTAAGTCCATGGCATTTTTTCCCCAAGGTACAGCAGAAAAGGTTACTGGATAGATTAAATATAGATTGGGTGTCAAACTCAATTTCACTGAGGGCCGCATCAGCATTGCAGTTGCTCGGGGGGGGGGGCTGGGTGGGTGTGGCCAGAGTGGGTGTGGCCTACTGGGTGGGTGTGCATGGGTGGGTGTGGCCTACTGGGTGGGCGTGCCCAATTCTACACCAGTCGCGTCAAGGGTGCCTGTGGGGGTCTGGGCAGGAATGAGACAGATCTGAGGGTCTCTGGCAGAAGGGGGTGGGACGGGGGGCAAGTGCCAAGGCATGGTCCACTGGGGCAAGTACCAAGATGGCCACCACAAAATTGTACATTGGCTCCCAGCCGGCTGGGGCCAAGACAGCGGGCTCCCTCACTGTTTCCAGGATGGCTTCGTGGGCCACATGAAACCACTTTGCGGGCCGCATCCGGCCCCCGGGCATTGTGTTTGACATGTCTGATATAGATGATTAATAGGTGAGATAGATAATAGATGAGAGAGGGAGAGAGAGAAATCTAAAACATTTGTTATATAAAGCACAAAAAACTTCATTGGAAGTTTATTTTGGTAGAACCCCCAAATCCTTACAAAAGATGATCCTCGGTGATTTCGGCACAGGGCAGGAGCACAAGGTGCCTAACAGGTCCAAGCTCCTGACCGCAGGATCCCAAATATATTCATATTCATATTAGTAAAGTTGGAAGGGACCTTGGAGGTCATCTAGTCCAACCCCCTGCTCGGGCAGGAAACCCTACACCATTTCGGACAAATGGCTGTCCAGTCTCTTCTTAAAAACTTCCAGTGTTGGAGCATTTACTTCTTCTGGAGGCAAGCTGTTCCACTGATTAATTGTTCTCACTGTCAGGAAGTTTCTCCTTAGTTCTAGGTTGCTTCTCTCCTTGATTAGTTTCCACCCATTGCTTCTTGTCCTGCCTTCAGGTGCTTTGGAAAATAGCTTAATTCCCTCTTCTTTATGGCAGCCCCTGAGATATTGGAATACTGCTATCATGTTCCCCCTTGTCTTTCTCTTCGTTAAACTAGACATACCCAATTCTCGCAACCGTTCCTTATATGTTTTAGCCTCCAATCCCCTAATCATCTTTGTTGCTCTTCTCTGTACTCTTTCTAGAGTCTCAACATCTTTTTTACATCGTGGTGACCAAAACTGGATGCAGTATTTCAAGTGTGGCCTTATCAAGGCATTGTAAAGTGGTATTAATACTTCACGTGATCTTGATTCTATCCCTCTGTTAATGCAGCCTAGCACTGTGTTGGCCTTTTTGGCAGCTGCAGCACACTGCTGGCTCATATTTAAGTGATTGTCTACTAGGACTCCGAGGTCCCTCTCACAGTTACTACTATTGAACATGGTGCCACCTATGCTGTACTTGTGCATTTGGTTTTTCTTACCTAAATGTAGAACCTTGCTTTTTTCACCATTGAATTTCATTTTGTTAGTTAGTGCCCAGTGTTCAAGTCTGTCCAGATCCTTCTGTATCTGAAGCCTGTCTTCTGGAGTTTTGGCTATTCCTGCCAGCTTGGTGTCATCTGCAAATTTGATGAGTTCCCCATCTATCCCTTCATCCAAATCGTTGATGAAGAGGTTGAAGAGTACTGGGCCCAGAACAGAGCCCTGGGGCACCCCACTACACACTTCCCTCCATATAGATGCAGTTCCATTGAGGACCACGCGCTGAGTACGGCCGGTCAGCCAGCTACGGATCCATCTGGTGGTGGTTCTGTCTACCCCACATTTTTCTATCTTGTCAAGTAGTAGGTTGTGATCTACTTTATCAAATGCCTTACTGAAGTCCAAGTAAATTATGTCCACAGCATTCCTCTGATCCACTAATTTTGTCACTTGGTCAAAGAATGCAATAAGATTTGTCTGGCATGATCTATTTTTGACAAACCCATGTTGGCTTTTAGTAATGACTTTGTTTGCCTCTAGGTGTTCGTTGATTCGTTGTTTGATTATCTTTTCCAGGATCTTCCCAGGTATTGAGGTCAGGCTGATAGGTCTGTAATTTCCTGGATCCATTTTTTTTCCTTTTTTGAGGATGGGAACTACATCAGCTCTTTTCCAGTCCTCTGGTAGTTCCCCTGTGTTCCAGGATCTTTGAAAAATATAGTTCAGTGGCTCCGATATCACATCTGCCAGTTCCTTGAGAACTCTGGGATGTAATCCATCTGGTCCTGGCGATTTGAACTCATCTAGGCTGGACAGGTGCTCACTAACCATTTTCTTGCCTATCTTAATTTGTGTTTCTGTTTTGTTTTTTATGGCACTATTTTTGATAGGTTGGTCTGTTTTTTCCCTTTGTGTAAAGACAGATGCAAAAAATGAGTTAAATAGTTCTGCTTTCTCCCTGTTGCTTGTCACCTTCTTGCCACTTCCACCCACTAATGGACCAATCATTTTCTTCACTTTTTTCTTGTTTTTTACATGTTGAAAGAAGCTTTTTTTGTTATTTTTGACTTTGGTCGCAAGCCTTAGTTCATTTTGAGCCTTGGCTTTCTTCACTTCATCTTTGCAGGCTCGGGCTATTTGCTGATATTCTGACTTAGTTATGTTCCCCTCTTTCCACTTTCTATACTTGTCCTTTTTATCTTTCAATTTGTCAGAGAGTTCTTTATGCAGCCATGCTGGTTTCTTTTGGGAGCTGTTGTTTTTCCTCTTTGTTGGTATTGTGCTAGACTGTGCTTTTATTATCTCATTTTTCAAAATTTCCCAAGCTTCTTGAGTTGTTTTCCCCTTGAGGATTCTCATCCATGGAATCCTTCCCAAGCCCTCTCTAAGTTTATTGAAATTAGCTCTCTTGAAGTCCAAGACTCTAGTTTGACTGTGTTCTATTGGTTGTGCTTCTTCTATAATGTTGAATTCTAATATTGCATGATCACTTCCTCCCAGGGTTCCTATGGCTTCAACACCGTCTATCATTTCATCTCTGTTAGTGAGAATTAGATCCAAAATGGCTAATCCCCTAGTTCCCTTCTCTACTTTTTGGGAGACAAAGTTGTCTGCTAGGTTTGCCAGGAACCTGTTTGATCTTCCACTTGGTGCGGAGTTTGTCTCCCAGTTGATGTCAGGGTAGTTAAAGTCCCCCATTACTATTGTGATGTGCTTCCTACATACCTTAGTTAGCTGACTAGCAAAAAGTTCATCTATTTCCTCTGTTTGGTTGGGTGGTCTGTAGTATACACCTATGGCAATGTCATTTCCCCTCCCTTTTATATTGACCTAAATGCATTCAAGACAGTTTTTATCATTGTTGTGCTCTATTTCTGTGGAGATGTAGTTATTTCTTATATAGAGAGCAACTCCACCTCCTCTTTTATTTGGTCTGTTTCTTTTAAATAATTTAAATCCCTCTAGCTGTGTGTTCCATGTGTGGGTTTCATCCCACCATGTTTCCGTAATGGCAACAATATCATATCTGCCCTCATTAACCTGAATTTCTAGTTCACCCTGTTTGCTGTTCATACTCTGTGCATTGGTGTATAAACATTTGAGTCCTTTGTGGGTGGCCCTGTGTTTCCTTTCTACATAACCTGTGTGGTGCCTGAGTTCCCCTATTGTCTTACCACCTATTTGGTTAGTGCACTTTATGTGGCACTCGCTATTAGAGGCTTCATTTTGCTTGATAGCAAGGTTTGATATTCTTGTCCACACACACATCTATGCTACATGCACTGATAGCCCTATAGTTTTTAAATTGCCGGGGACAGGGTTGTTCCGTGTCAATTAACTCCCTGTCCCCGCTGTTTAGTTTAAATTTCCCTCCAGAAAATCTGTGAATTTATAGCCGAGTAACTCAGTCCCTTTTTTTGATGGATGCAAACCATCTCTTTTGTACATCTTTTGATTGGACCAGCTACTGACATCGTGACTAATATATCCAAAGCCTTCCCCTTTACACCACTCCTTTAGCCACATATTGAATTGTGCTATGCGCTGGCTTTTTCCGTTTTGCTCCTTATACACTGGTAAGACCTCTGAGAAAGTAAGCCTACAGCCTATTCTGCTAAGTTCCTTCCCCAAGCTCTGGAAATCATTCTGCACAGAGAGTACATCTTTTTGGGATAGATCATTAGTGCCAAGATGTACAATAGCCTCCACATCCAAGTCCTTGCTGCCATTCTTGATTATTTTAGAAATACGCTTCTTGTCCCTACTGGCAGTAGCACCTGGAAGACACCTGACCTCTTTCAAAGCCTCTGTGTCCTTCCCTAAATTTACATCCCTTATAATTGAATCACCTACCAGAAGGTAGCTTCTCTTTTTGGGAGCCTTTCTATTCTTGCATGACTGATGTGCAATACCTGATTCACACTTTTCCCTGTCAGAATCTAGTTCTTCATCTCGGACCACAATCCCCTGCTTATTTGAGTTATCTTCACAAATACCTTTACCTGTCTCCTTAATGTCCCTATTAAGGTCAGCAAGGGCACTGTAACTGTTGTGCAGGGACAAAGCGAAAGCT